TTAAACATAGATATCTATTGTTTAAATTGAAGTCGTAGGAAAACAGACAAATATTAAATATTAAGACAAGTATTTATCAGATAATTCAGATGATAAGAGCAGTCTCTTCTGCAAAACAAAAGACCTGGATTCAGATCTTAGAATTCAAATTCAGTCATTTATTTTATGCTATACTGTTTTCCTATACTTATGATTTAATATCTAAACGTGAAATTAAGTTATTTGATATGATATTCCGTGATTTAATACGATGGAAAAATACATATGATCATATTTATTAAACTATTTATTACATAGGTTAGCATATATATGCCACACTATGCATACATACCTGTTTTATTAGTGTTATATTGCAATAATTATACATTGATAAATAATGTTACATAATAGCAATGTTAAATTCATATAACAGTAATGTAACAGGTATATAACACAATTATTAAACTTATGAAAAAAATTATTAAAATCATGAAACAAAGTAATATACTTATTACTACTATTAAGCCTTTGAGTCTTATCTTCCACTCCCTTTCTATTTTGTGTAGTTGTTTTATATTTCTTACATCTAATAGAACTCTAATTTTGTAACGTTTTTACGATCGCAATTCTTGCAATTTTCTGCCCATAAACTATATGGTATATTTTATTCTAGCGAGATAAAATTAAGTCTAATCCTTAGATTACTATAGGCGCATATATCCGTCCTGTTGCTATGCCTAAAAAGACGAATATATCCGCTCGATGAAATCTGCAATTTTTTTATCAGCTTATCTACTATCTAGAAATTCACTCTCTCGAATGCAAATTTGGCGGCAGACTGACAACAAAATCGAACAGATTTGCCGAAATTGTACAGTTTAATAATGAATCCCTAACAAAATTTTGACAAATGCGCAAAATTTGTCGCCAATTTGTAAATGACAATAATTGCAACAGATTTTTTGAAAAACACAAGCCTAATAAGTTTTTTTACAAATGATTTCTGTCGCAGTCTATTCAGAATTTGCAACCAATCAGTTCGCAACGTAGACATATACATATATCTTGATCTTTTATATATATATATATATATATATATATATATAGACATATACATATATATAGACAGAATGAAATCGATCGACAATGCAACGATACAAAAAAAGTGCCGCGACATCAATGCGATGCTAAATATATGTTTATGGTTTGCAACTTAACTAACAATTTGCTTATTAGGAATAGATATTGTTGTAATGTATATTGTTATTAATAGTTGCCGTTTAAAAATAAAACAGTTCAATTTTTTTTTGAGATCTTTGTCATTCTTGAGTACATGATTTAAAGTTTACTTTATCACAGTTACTGGTCTAGTTTACACCGATTGCTTAATACGCGTATTAAGTACTATATTCGTATTAAATCGGCTTGGTTTCAACAATGTAAACAATGTTATATTATAAGCTGGTACAATACGCTTTCTCCATGCGTATCGTATCAAAATGATACGCGTATCAAGCACATTTATAATGATGTAAACACTAAAACATTGACAAACACATTTTATTTGATTCGTGTATCAAAAAGATGTACGGTGTAAACTAGGCCACTATATTAAGATTCGATTTTTCTGCAGTTTTATCTCTCATATACTATTGTTTCACGTATTGTATAACAATAATATGTGGAATTAGTTTTGTCTTTTCTGTATTTTGATTTGAAACTTTGCAACTTTGTTTTATTTTCTTACGGAAGTATTCAATTGTAAAAAGTTATCAAAGAAAAAATGCAACAAGATCTATGTTGATAGGCTCAATAGTTTATATATATGTGTATATATTTATATATATATATATATATATATATATATATTTATTTATTTTTGTAAATATACATATATATTTGTTTGCTCTCTATAAGAATTCTATTGTAATAAATATGGAATGACTTGCGTAAATGAGGTAATACGTATGAGCTTTGGTTTGTGTTTGCAAATTGTCTGCATAGTCATAACATGTCAATTCTTTTTTTTTACTTATTCCGGTTTATCATATCCGGTTTAGACATACAAATGTTTGACAAACAATGTGCATCTTAATAAAACATATACCCCCGTATTTTCTATGCTCTAACATATACAATTAGTTTTTATATAATAGTTTTATATAATAGAACTACGATATAAAAACTTTTTCAAATATTTATTTTTTTTATTTCAAATATTCATCAAATATTTCTAATATTTACGACGACCAACAACGATTAAATACGCAAAAATATTACGGTCGTTGCAACTATTAAAAACTAATAAAGATGTTTTCTATTCTTGAATAATATAGAATAATATATATATATATATGTATTATTGATATAATAATACATATATAATCACATATATGTATTACAAGAAAATAATATAATAATTATTGTATAATCGTTGTATAATAATAATTGTATAATCGTCACTCTTTTAACATTGTATAATTATTTTATCATATAAAAATTACTATATTTAATATAGTAATTTTTGAGTAAAATATATTTTAACGCGCTTAAAGGACTTAAAAGACTAGTGATTTTAGGCTTAAAAAGATAGTGATTTGTAAAACAAAAGATTTCGATTTGAATTCCCATCAAGTCAACCTATGCGAAACGAATTGAGTAGTTTTATCACTTTTTATGATACGTTAGTAAGATAATTTTTCGTAGAACTTAGAGTTCTTAAGATGTATAAAAAATTTACTTCGCACAATTGAATCGAGATTTTTCTTGACAAATTTCAGAATTGTTTTGTAAAAGCGCTTTCCAGATTTGATTCCCGTCACTTGACATTTTTTCACAGTCTTTTCACTCGTATACTGTTTCACATATTGAATAATATATGATTTAGGTGTGGAATTAATTTTGCAGGATAAGTCTGTGAATAAAAAATGTTTTTTTAGGCACTGAAACTGCTCAAACACACAATATATTATTGGTAGGGAAAAGGGAAAAAAATGACTTAGTTAAGAGCAATAAAAACAAAAGATCCAATTTCTGATCAAAAATCATGCAAAATCGTCTCTTTCTGTATCTCAGTTGCACGTACACACAAATGTGATTTTAAATAAATTTAGTTTGATTCTGCGTGTTATTCATATCACACAAGATACAAATATTTTTCATAAAATGAAAATTATTCATACGTAAATTGTGAGCGATTCATGAGTGTATGTGTGTGTATGTATGCGTGAAATGGAATGCGTACGAGTAAAATATATATATGTGCGTACAAATAGAAAATAATTATATCCTACAAAGTCGTTGTATTAAAAAGTCTTGTTTATAGATTTATTCTATGACTATAAGTATTGAACACAATAATGGAGACACAGAAAGTTTATAAATCTGCGCACTACCGCTAAGTTTGGATCTGTGAAAGAGATTGTAGATTCTTGTCAAAATGATTTCTCGTTGCTATTTCTGTACGCAATTAAATACGTCCGCAGAAATATATTCGTCATTATATATTAGAAATATACTATGCCCGACATAGTTTTACAAAATTACAATTTAGAAAAACTTAAAACATAATTGATGTGTCGTATTTTTAATTGCATTTAATTTCCGATAAACTTACACACACATTAAAATGATGTTAAATTATTGCACACATTTGCCATGTTTGGTCATGTTCAGTTTAATTCATTTGTATTTACATATTTACATGTAAGTTTGTAATTTATATTTATATGTTGAGATAATTGTAATTTTATATTTATAACAAGCTTAATTCCAAACTTTGCAGGTAGTACATTAATTTTAAATTGTGTACAATAAGTACACTTATATTGAATTATGACTTCTTTTTGTATTTTCTTTCTCTTACTTGGTTATTGTACAAAAGTTTAGTGTACATATAGGGATACTATTATATATGAGTATATAAGGCTAATAAGATCCAATAGCTAATAAGAAATGTTTCTTACTTGGTAAAAAAATATTTAAAAATGTATTCATGTGCATAAATTCATATAAAAACAGTCTTGTTAAAAAACCAGTCTCGTAAAATTATATATTCTGAGCAAATATAAACAATATTTGAGAAAATAAAAATCCCGGTTTAGTCGCTTATGACAAACCGTTTTCCTGTACTTTATTTATTTAATATATCCAAACGTGGAATTAGTTTATCTTGTAAGTGTGTTTGTTTGGATACATTATATTATGAGGTATATTCTATGAGGTATATACACTAAATATATAAAAAGCTAAAAGTTTCCTCGGATATAAAAACATAATTTTTCTAATGTTTCAAATCCCGTCGAGAATAATATTTTACTCTCGTAATATTACTAATATTCAACTACACGTAATATTATCAATATTCAAAACGTATTACTTGTATATCTGTATAATATATATATATATATATATAATACCCTTTATATGACTTCTATATCTATCTATTTATATATCTATCTATTTATATATCTATATATTTATATATCTATCTATTTTATATATCTATCTATTTAACATTACGTTGACATGACTATTACTTTCTTTTTTACACAGAACATCATCAACATTTTTTTAAGGACACAAAATTGTACTTTCACAATTTAATTACTCTATGGTATGATGAAATCTGGAATTAGTTTTCGAAACATTTGACGTATAAAGTAGAAGCACTAAAATTAGTTTTACTTATCATGTGGTCGATAGCGTTTTTTTGAGAAAAGTTTTATTATTTATAGTATAAATCATTTTTTTGTAACATAATATATAAATTTACATATTTTTTTCATATATAGATTTATTTGTATATATTTTTTTATTATATATATAGATATGTATATAATATTAATTAATAATTTTGATATCATTAATTGTAATAACATACTTTGAATCTAAGTTTATTATAAGTGATAATTTTTCTCTCAGTCTTTATCTTGAATAAAAAAGATTATATAGTATACTTATTCTATGAGGTATATTTATAAGGCATATTTATGAGGTATATTTATGAGGTATATTTATGAAGTATATTCTATGAGGTATATTTATATGAGTCATAACTGCCCTATGAGATATATTTTTTTTTATATATCTGAAAGTGTAAATCGCAAAATGTGTTTGAGCAGTGTAAAAAGTCAGTCCTTATTGCAATTAAATCCCGGATAAAAACGTATCTCTAATTTAAAAAAAAAGCATATCTCTAACTTAAAAAATACCACATGGTTTCTAAAAATTAATTAACTTGCGATCTCGCTAACAAAATTTTTCACTGTATTTATTCACTCACAACAAACAATGTCGGGCAAATTGCGTAGCAAATTGCGCTCATTTTCAATTTGATTGTAAAATAAACTGCTAGTACCAGAACTATATAGTTTAGTGAACTAACCTTTGTGAAGTAATCTCTAAATTATACACATTGTCAGTAATAGCAGTGCATTTTGAACACATTCTTTCTATAGAAGTTATGTATAAGTTCAAATTTTTTTCGCATCTGAGACATAAAAATATTAAGATGGTAAATAAAGTAAATAATGTCTCGTTTCTTTTCTAATTTCTCTCTCATAGCTCTCTTTATATAGTTCTTGTATAATTATCTCTCTGTTAATATTTCATTGTTTTATTAACGTTAGCATGCTAATACAATAAAACACAAAACAAAAATAAATAACATATTTAACAAACAACTTTAACGATTGGTTGCTTGCGTTTCAGTCTTCTTTCACTCAGTCTTTTATTCTTTGTATATAGGCATTTGATTTTCTCTTTTATAGATGAATGATGTCAACGTTATTGATACATATGTGTCTTCGCTTCTACGTCTGTGCAAAATTACAAAAAAAAAAAAAATATGTAAAATGATCTATTGGATGAAATTCTTTTTTTTTTGGTTACACAAGTATCAACTAAAAGCCGTCCTATCACGGAAGGGAGGAAAAGTATCGCCATGTTTTCTACGTGATTTTAAACAGAAAAGCGATGAAAATGAAAAGAGAGAGAGAGAGAGAAGCCTAATTTTGGTCGTTGTCCGATTGCTGATCGGCATCCTGTGTTTCTTCCTTGATCTTATCCTGTGTGGAAGGTTTCAATGTCACCACCGGCGTGTCAAACTTACGACTCGACATCGAGAGATCCTCCACCTCGTATTTCTCCCCTGTCTCGTCTTTGATACTTAGCTGCTGCATTTGATTAGCGTAACGTATAACCGGACTTACAACGCAACGCGCGCTTGAGTCTGATGCCGAATCGTGATCCTGTCGTATTTTCTTGACATTGCAACCGTTTTTGTTGTCGGTTTCGGACGGAGTATTATAAATGCCGTTCAAGTTATCGTCGGTATCGTAAAAGGAACTTGCCGTATTGTTGCCATTGGTAGACGAGCGCTTGACCCGCGCGATACCGAGTTTCTTCACCTTATCGTAAAGAGTGCGCGAAGGTACATTGTACTTACGGGCCGCTTGCACCGCGCTCATGCCTTCTTTCACCGCTGTTATCGCCGCATCGATTTCCGCTCGGGTGTACTGTTTGTATCGTTTCCACTCAGGTTTCGCAGGCAGATCTTGACAGATAACAAAGAACAAAAATATATAAGTGGAACAAAAGTTTAAAAATATATTTCTCTTATTACTTATCGATCGGTTTTATGCATCGTCAAATTGTAACAGCGCACGTACATACCTGTTGATTTCTCTTTTGTTGGTTCTCTCTGTTTCGGCGACTTTTTCTCTTCTTCATCTATGTCGGGCGGGCTGAGAGGTGATTCCCTTCTGTGAGTCAGGTCGATACTAGTAGAGATCATGTTGTTCATAGGGTGATTGTGATAATAGTGCAAATTGTCAAGAGCGGACGACAGCAGCGAGTTCTGACCGAGCGCCGTACGCAGTATCGGCGTGTCGCTTAATTTCAATCGATTCTTGTTAAAGGTTTCTGTTAAGGTTCTTCCTATAAGATTATCATAGGCTTCGTAGTTATGGTGGGTGGTGCACTCGGGCGAAGTGTTCAAGCCCACTGCGGGGGGTCGGTAGAAGTAAGAAATCGTATCGGTTCTCGGTAAATATTGGCTTCTATCACTGTAGGTGGAGTGCGGCGGTGACGAGTGGACGCTGCTACTAGACGCCATTACTGTATCTCTGTTTGTGGTACTGATAGCGGGCGGTGGTGACACATCCCTGAGCTGGGTCGGGGTTTTGTCGTCATCTCTACTGTTCATATCTACTAAACCCTTCACTTTTAAAAATTCCGCGGTCATCAGCAGACCGGCAAGCTGATCCTGCATAATGTTCACCTCGCCGTTATACATAAAGTCGATTAATGCCTGCAAGTCGATGTATTGGATGTCTTTGAATATGATCGTCGGATGTTTGCACGGCGATTCTTCGAGAATCTTTCGTAAGTAAGGCGAGCACGCGGCTAGGATCAGTTTGTGGCACTTGATGGTACGGTTTTCCACGGCAAGAGTCACGTCGGTAAAAGCTTCTTTCTTTAATAAATCGTGAAAGATATTTATCATGTTATTTTGATGATTGTTCCAACGGAGACAGTAGTGTGCACTCATCTTGATGTTCTTCTGTGTTGAAACTGCAGCTGGAAACACACAAAACATAATGTTACTATCGAGTGAACTGGTAGTAATTTAGCTCTATGCTTAAACTCTATTGCAATTCTCTATTGCAAATTAAATATTTAAATATTAATAAAAAATATTAAAGACGCGTAAACACAAACTTAATAATAATTTCCGGATAATAAATCTTTGCGTTTCTTGTATATGTAGTTGCGTTTTTTTGTTGTGAAGGTTTACTCCGTTAACTTCCGAATATATGTGTATGCGTACGTATATAGAACGATTCTGTTGTAAAGACAAACACGTAAGTAATAAAATTTCACTCAACACGTAAGTAATCTTCGCGTAATAATAAACCGAAGACGCGTCTTTGCTCCACGAGTTCACTTTTCCGACTGTGTTAGATTTTCAGATTACGATATAATGAAGACGCGTTGTATGGTTTTTCATTATCGTTTTCCCCACTGCAAAAGTTTTCCAAGGGACACACCTCCCTTCCACTCCCGTATAGGACTGCACTTATCGCGATATGATTCACTCGACATAGTAATTTCAAGCTGGCTTATTTGGGCTTTGTCACGTGATTTGCCTTTGGTTCTTCTGCGATAGCGATTAAGATAAAGAAGTTCCAAAGGGCCTCTTATTTCTATGTTTTTCTGCACACATTAAATTTCCATTACACAAAATATTATCTCGATAGTTTTGACCAGAGGCGCGCTCTTTTTTATTTTTCGGCTTTGATACAACCAAATTGAAAATGCATTTTTTTTTATCGCGATTCACGAATCATTGGTAATGTACATTATAAACGACAGAATTAAATAATAATAAAGGTGATTTTTAAAGCAATTTTTCTAAAGCGATTTTAGATGTTCAACGACGCGAACGGAACATTATAGTTTTTTAGTGAGCACAACGGTTTTTTTAACGCGCATATCTATATCTTGCGTATCTATGTGTGACTTGCGATTGTGTAAGACAAGGATCTTTATGTTAAACGAATGATGTTATAGTTATTTCTATATATTTTTATTTTAATTGATAATTGACTTCAATTTATTGCAACAATGATTTTCGTAATTTTATATAATAAATATATATCTAATAAATATATATCTAAAATAACAATATCTTATACCAGTTGTAAATAGTGCTGTTTGGTGGGCATACGAATTGATGTTGTCCGTTGGGGGAGCGACGCTACGTTGCCGTGAATCGGTCCTACATGGAATTACATACTTGATGCGGGCAGCGGCTGCAATCGCATAGTCACTTTATTATCGTTTTAGTAGCATACTTTAATAGATATTATTAATAAAAAGTAAGTATTTTATTGTAATATAAATACAAAGAAAACTACAAATATATATTTGTATAGAAAAATAATTGTGAAATTTTTTTTGAATGCAATTAGAAAATAATGCAGTTATAAAACTTACAAGATTTTGCAACAAAATATTACCAACTTATACAAAAATATTATTAAATTATTACGCAAGCACCTTCTTGTGCACTAATGTGGTATTTTTTCTTTATTTATACTTTCAGAATCTTTCAAAAATTTTTCTACAATGCGGTTCGTTTCCTATTGTGTTATTTTCGTCGTTGCCAACTATCATTGGCGACAGGTGCGATAAAACCGAAATTTTTCAAAATGACTTTACTGTAGGAGGGTCCGACTCACGAGTAAGAAAACAGTCAGAATATTTCCGAATATTTCTCTGTCACTGCATTTTTTAGTTTTACTTAAAAAAATAAAACTGTTTTATTAGACTTTAACTTAATATCTTAAAATACATTTTTCAATCATTTTTAACAAATTTCTATGAACAAGAAATTTATTTATAAAACAAACAATATAAGTACATATGTTTTATTATAATGATCCAGCTCCATTAAAAGAAACTGTTAAACAAGAAAAATAAAACTGCATAAAGTTTTTCAAAAAAAGAGTTAAAATTACCGGTTAAAATGGCATAAATCTATAAAATGTATAATGTTCGGGAAAGCAAGGCTGTAAACAGATCTGAAAAAAAAATAGAAAAATAATCTGCAATATATATATATATATATAACAGATTTTTCTTAAAAATATATAGATACAAATATTATATACGACATGGAAACATTGTTTCAAATTAAGTAAGGATGTAGTGATTCATCTGTGCACAACGTGATGTGAATGATATGATCGATAAGCCAAGCAAATATGTGTGTCTGTGTGTGTGTTTTTCCTACCCTAGATAAACTTTTCATCATTCTAAAGATTATGGGAAACTTATGCTGTGCAATTCAAAGCAATCTCTTATGCTGTGCATTTGTATGAATAAATCCGTAAAATTATTGCTTGCGCGGCAATCGCAGATCGCAAGAAGTTGAGTTACAGTTTTATGTAAACTGCAATTCTGCATCAGCGTATTTGTTATATCCATAATTAAGATGAATAACTCAATTTCTCGTACATTTGAGCACCCTCATTTAGACAGTTTCGCGCATTTCACGAATTACCGTAACCTCACAGACGCAAATTGCTCACATTTACAAAAAAAATCTAGTAAGTCTTGTTATTAACAATCGTAATCCGCAAATTATATTGAGACAAGCACGCATAGAAAATATGAGTTTCTTGCTGGAAGTTCTTGCGATCTTGTTTTAATGTTAAAATTTTGTGTGCAAAATAGAAAAAACATTGTTCAAAAAAGTATATATGTAATATATATATTTTTTTATATTACAAATTTTTTCAATTTTAATATGTTATATTTATTATATTATTCTGCTTGTGAACCATTGCCGAATATCCTTAGGGGATACGCGTATCTTCATTTAAAAACATCAACAAGAATACGACAAAAAAGATGTTAAAAAAGTTTCGTTCGCAATGTTGATTTCGCAAAAAGTCAAGCATGACTTTCAAAACACGTCGATGAAAAATAAAACACACACACACATATGTGCACATATAGCGTTCATGTGACATAACTAAATGAGTAACCATATTATATTAAACAAATCAAACTATCACACACATATGATTATTATTGTTCCCGAATATGACCAGTTTTTTTTTTATTTTATTCAAAGTTGCACTTTCAAAATTCGAATTACGTATACAGTAGTAACCGTATCATCTCTCGTAGACAAATAAAGCAAGTTGTATTAGTTGATACAAAAATCCTATACTATATTGCGAGTTTTGAAATAATTAATAAGTTATTAATCTTTAGTCTCGCGGTTTGCGTGCTTATGGTTGCTAAGCGCGCGGCGATTTGATGAGAGAAAATAAAACGTGGGGACGTTTTTTTGAAATCAAAATTATTCTCAATTATTTATTTTGATTAAAATCCATAAGAAATAATTTGTTTATTATTTAATAATTAATTATTTAGTTTGATTGAAAGTCAAACTTCTCTTATTGTGTCGCCATGCTCTTAGCAACATGAGTGATATGTGAAATGCCACACGGAAAAAAAAAGTTTTGCTATTATATGGTTAGCAAGAAAAATGGTTGACTCTACGAAATTTTTTGTTTCATCAACGAAATGTTTTGTTGGCAAAACAAAACTTTTAATAAACTTAACAAATGTTTTTTTGCTGGCCATATAGTAACTAATTTCTTGCTATTTTAGCAAATCTTTTTTTTCCGTGCAGATAATGCGTCTTCTCTTAGACGCGGATATCTTTGTAAATTAATAGCTGAATAATTATTGCAAATTTCAAAAAATGATAAAAGATTTCTTGACTCACCAGTACAATTTATTCAATTTGCCTGCGAGAGATGACACAATTTTTACTGAACCTACATATTGTGCTTATATATTTTGTATATTTTTTATTGTATATATATATTTTGTATATATATATTTTTTATATGTAAAGGTGATAGTATAAAGCTTCAAGAAATTTCAAATAAATAATGAATCTTGGCTATTAAAGCAATAACACTGTTGTTAGAGTGTATGTGATTAAATCCGTTTATTATACAATTAAATAAATAAATAAGCATGAACGCTTTTGACCTTGTGTATTAGGTCCTTTTCAAATGCATATAGATTATATTGTAAAAAATAGGTCGCTCAATGTTGATCGTGGATATCCACACTAGCCATCCCGACCAACACTTTACAAAGGTGGAAATGAAAATGCCAATGCATTGCGCTGGCATTTTCATTGGCATCTACAATGCATTTGAAAAGGACCTAATACAAGGTCGAAAGCGTTCATGCTTATTTATTTATTTAATTATATAATAAACGGATTTAATCACATACACTCTAACAACAGTGTTATTGCTTTAATAGCCAAGATTCATTATTTATTTTATATTTTTTATGACGTATATATATGTATATATATTTTGTGTGTTTCTGTATGTATGTTACACTTTATATTTCCAATGTAATGAAGAATCTACATCGGAGAGGATAATTTGCGTGTACTTAGTTTTCACAAAACATTAAGTAATATAATTTTCAACCGAAGAGGATAATTTAACATTTAAATAGCTTAGTGAAAAATCTGACGAAACATTCGAATTTAAGTCTCGATTCAGTACAAGACGTGTCGATATTGAGTTTATATATACATGTATATATATTGTATTCCATTATATGTGCATATATAGTGCATATATATGCATGTGTGTGTATGTACATGTATATATATACATATATACATATATATATATATATATATATATTATATACATGTCAAACTCATAGCGACGCCACGTGTCTGTTTAACACGCGTCTCTCTTCACCGCGCCTCACCACCATTTTCACACTAAAGTATAACACAATTTTCACATACACCGGTGACAAGAAAGGTGTGCACAATTACGACAATTGATTTCATAAAACGCACATTTTGAAAATTAAAAAAAATTACCCGAAGTATTGTCAAGATGCACCTCCTCTCAGCCACTGCTCCGCTATCTGTAGTCCCTTATTTAACATTAGCAACGTACGAGGCTGTAGGAGATACTGTAGGAGAAGGCCATTCCAAAACGGAATGGGCGAACATCTAAAAAGAGAGGTTGGTTGAAGACCAGAGGGCGCTCTCTACGCATTATAGTATTACTTCTTAAATTTCCTGAATCCGTGTACGTGTATATGTCTAATGGCGCGACCAAAGGACGCGAAAACCTTTTCTAGCAGTTCACGAAACTTTCCTAAAGGTTCAATAAACTTTTAGCGCGAGGAACGCGCTATAAAGTGTACGTTGATAAACTGGAAGAACAAAAAGAAAAAGAGAGATAGGAGAAATAGAATACTTACAAATTGTATTAAAAGGTTGCAAACTCATTAGAAATGATGAATTAGAGAATATGTCGCAATGTTAATTAAAATGTTAAAAATTGCTTTAGCACACGACACACGTGGAAGAATACGAAAATTCGAACGAGAGTTTTGAAAGAAAGATAACTATTCGCTATCAGTAAATAGTATATCAGCATGAAAAAAAATATGAAAAATCCGAATTTTCATTACACGCGTGTGCGTGGCGCTGTAACATTTTTGCTTGCTTGAGAGTTAAGAACACCAGTATCCAATATCCTGTCAGACATGTGTGTGTCACGCCCCACACGCATACACATATGGGTATACATATGTGATATATTGTACATATACATACGTGTGCAATGCACAAGTGATACTCACCCACGTCGCTCTTTCTCATGTGTTCACGTTTCACATACAGGTAAATGGTAAACCGCTCCGCGCACACATATACTTTACACGTACAAGCGGGACTTAGGGGAAGATCGTGCATGAGTGCGTGGAGTGTGTGTATACGAATATACAAAAAAAACACACATACAACTGCGTTTACGAAAATTGCGGGCGACCACGCCCTATGTAGCTTGCGTTCTTTTTTCGTATTGTATGTGTACGTAGTTATATTTCACGATATATTACATAATGTAACGAGATAATGTCCGGGAAAATGTCCTGCTGTAAACTTGCAAATTTTCTGAGTTTTTCTTGTGGAAGAGAAGGGCCAGAAGAGAAAAAAGAGAAAGAGAAAGAAGAAGAGAGAGAGAAATAGAGTGAAAGAGTGAGAGGTCGGCATGTGAGTCGGTCATTATTGAGATCAATGACCCCAACAAACGGAAGCGAGGCCATATAAAAAGCGAAATAATTGCTTTACACGTTACAAAATATATACAAACATAAATTTTGAATGCAATATTTTATCAAATATTGTTTTCTGAGTGAATAAATAGTAAAATATTTCACCCGGGGATTATAAAACACACATCGGTGTATAATACTACAAAAATTTACCACGTCGTAAAAACAAGACAATTAGAAATAGGCCATTCCATGTACGGGATAGCGCGTATTAGCCCGCGCAACCGTGTGATAATGGATTTGATTCAGATAATTTTTCAGTGAATATTTTGTCAGATATGTATGAGACTGTAAACAAGCGATAAACGAAAGAAAAGTATCGTGTTTCTACCAAAACAGACGCGTTATCCTCTTTTTGTTTGTACGAAGTCTTTGAAATTTCGTTATCACTTGCAGTTGTGCTATTGAGAACAGCCGAAAATATGCAGCTTGATTTCTCTTATCTATGAGCAGGCCTTACGAAGAGAAGATAAAAAGTGTTGCTTGAAGAAAACGCTCGCTTCTCCGTTTGCCGAACGTGCAAGAATAAGAAGACTTCTCGATACGTATCGCGCGCAAGATCTCTTGTCTCGTCGAAAGAGATGTTGAGATGTCACCTGATAATAGCGAAGACGAATCCTCGTCTTGTTGCGCAATAAAAAAGAAAAATAATTTTTTTTTCTATTTATACGGTAATAACCTAGAAACACGCGAGCATTAACACAGAAGCTGTGCAAACATTGGATAATGCAATTGGATAATGCGTGCGCGATGTCACGAGCTCTACGTTACGGGATGCGCCAAAATCGTGCAAACATTTCGCAATTGCGTTGCAAAATATTCATACAGCAATTTTCAGGAAAAAGAGATCGAGAATATATTTATTTAGATAGGATATTATCCGTTTTGTAGGATATTATATTCACACAAGCGTCTAAGTAGTATACTTGACACACACGTAGCCTGAAATTTCGGTTTGGCAAAATAAAGTTTGCCAAGTTTCGGTCAATGATATCTCCGACAAATGCCATTCCGCAATTTCACCGCAATTAGCATCTAAACAAGATTTTATAAACAATTGCGCTCTACGCAAGCTTGTCATTAAAGAAGTGCCGGTCCCACGCGAAGCTACTTTTTTATCGATATTCGAATTTCTATTGCAAATATGTTAGACATTAAATATTGATTGAGTTCATTGACCACATTTGATAATTTTCTTTTTTTTTTTTTGTTTATTTGATTTGTCTATTAAATTATAAACCGTGTTATTTTGTAAGATCAATTTCTTTCATTTGTTCCGTTTTCAATTTCGGCTTACATACATGTACATACAATATGCATAGAAATACATACATGAGCTTGAAAGCATCATATTTGCTGGTTTCTTGTCTGTTGTTGCGTACTTCATTTTTTTATTTCTTTTTGTTATTCATTTTGCATCTAATTAAGAATATTTTACAAATATTTAAAGAAAAATAATAAAGAGTCAGTAAGAACCGAGCGTTGATTGTACGTGCAAAATATATATTTTTTTAATGGAAATTAATACACATTGTAATTTGCATTGAATTCGAAAATCTCTACATCGGATACTCGATTTGTATTTCGTATGTAGAAAATTCTTCCGTTTACGCTTGTGTGTGAATTAAAAAAATTATTGCAAAAAAACACTTCGGTCATTGATCGAACCTGAACTTTCCGCGTTTCGTGCAGTCGCTTTGTTAGCTACTTCAGCTATTCAAGCGCCTGCTGAATTTTTTACAACAAACTTGAAGTATCTGCAAACTAACGCATCTCCCGCTTACGTAAATATTGCAAAGTAAATCGGTCTTTCAAGCTGCAATAATTGTCTAAACAATCGATAAAGTGCATCTTAAAAATTGTTCACGCATCTTGAATTAATTTTAACCGCAGACATTATAACACATTTCTCGCTGGGATATTTTTTTTACCTGAGACTCTGTCTGACTTCTTTCAGGTCGCATTCGGCAATTGTGTCGATAACTGTCGCGCGATAAATGTCGCCAGCGATAGTGCAATATCAAGATAGAGAATGTTGTTTACTTATTAGCTTGCCCAAAATACATTGATAATCCCGTGTGCGACGTTATGTGCGTCTCTGTGTCTTTTGTAAGCACACAAAAAGCAACAGTGTTGAAATATAATATAATATGTCGCGCGATAAAAAGAAGAGAGAGAGAGGGATGATATAAATATATATAAAAACTTACGTATATATATCTTTATTTACTTAAATGTATGCGCGCGCACATCATATTCGGTGCGCGATCATAAAAAATTTATACGGAGATGTACGAAATCAGTCAGTCGCTTGTGAGGTGAGATGGAATATTTGAATAAGAATATTTCTCCAAGAATATTTCTCTCTCTGGCACAAGTAGAAGAAGAAAAGATTCTTTTGGCATATATATATATATATATATTTTCACCGAATGCACCTTCTCGATTCAAAATCAGAATCTTGATCGACACAAAAGTCGGCGGTTTCGATCAAAAAATGAAAAGGGGACTGGGAAGTTTTTTCTCGCGACCGTCCTGAAAGAGGATTTCCCCCCTTCGTTACGTAGCATCGAGACACGACGCGAGGATGCGAGGTGGAAACCTTATAAAGGAAAACAGGTTCCTCATAAGCTGTGGAGTTGCTGTAACGCTATCGCGCAGTTGGCTTTTGAAGTTCTCTCCCCCTCATTCCTTATCCTTCTCCTTGTCTTTCACTCTTTTCTCTTTTTCTCTCTGTCTCTCTTTCTCATAGACAAGAAGTGATGGAGATATATACGGGCGATGCGTTTCTGACATATGCGTACATGTGTGTGGGTAAGCACCACGAATCAGATACACAAATGACGTCCGAATTCACACAGAGATAGTTCACAGCATGCAATTCCCTCTTCGGGTTTTCTTCCCAGTGTGAAACGTGTAAATAAGAGAGAGTCGTTTCTAATAATTATTTTTAGAAAAAATGAAACAACACCTTTTCTTTAAAAGGGATCGCACAAGGGATCTGTCATTACTTCGAGCAAATACGTACTGTATGTATGTAAACATCAGATATGGTTTAATACCGGAGTAAATACTTTGGTTCTGTGGTAATGAAAAAACTCCCCTACGTAAGAACCTGACATCTTCTTCGACATAAGTTACGAGAAAAGTTTGACCCGTAATTAGTTGATGTGCTTACTGCTTAACGATTTAACTCTGTAAATTTTCATCACCTATATTATCGCCTATTTTGTATAGGTTTGCACACTCCCGTGGTGTGTAGCGTCTATACAATTGTAGCCAATATATGTTAGGAACTGTGCAATCAACGGTCTGCTACATTGCCTGCTGATACATTGTCGTCAACACAATGGAATGAAACATCGATGGTTTATGCTGACTAGTGTCTAACGCAACAGTAATGTCTCTGCACCTTCTTTGATGGTAACACATATGTTTATATGTATACATATATATGTACAACATAAGTATATATATACAGGGTGTCCCAGAATTGCCGTACAATCTCTCGTAGGCAGGTAGAAGGAGTAAAACTGAGTCGAAAAGTCCTGAACCATTTTTTTCTATTATTTATAATAAAGGAGTAATTATTGAGTAAATCAGGCCAATTAGCCCAGACCTTTAGCCAGGCACACGTCAGTGAGCGCTCACACACATCAAGCGCGCGGCTCACTGACGTGCGTCTGGCTAAAGGTCTGCGTTGATTGGCCTGATTTACTAAATAATTACTCCTTTATTATAAATAATAGAAAAAAATGGTTCAAGACTTTTCGACTCAGTTTTACTCCTTCTACACACAGAAAAATGCATACTGTATCAAGTATATAATAAGTTTATAT